GTGTGTGTGTGTGTAAGAGAAACAATGCTTCTGGCCTTCTGGGGCTGTCTGTATATTTTGTCACATTTTTAGTCTGAGGGATGGTGGGGGAAGCTGTTTATACCCTAGGTCTTAAAGTCACTTGTCCTTAACGAGAAAAAAGGTGCTTTTTTTTGGTGCTGGTCACAAATCTATATTCAATTTTTAAAATAAATTTATTTTATCCCTTTCTCCCCACAAGCTCCTTCCTCTCCCTACGTACAATTTTTTGAAGAAACGCCAAAGTATTTCATACACAGCCTGCACCATGTGTATTGTTTCCAGTTTCTCTGCAGCTTTACCAACACGTGCTTCCTTAAATTATATTGATGATGGGTTCTGTAGTAGGAGTGAAGGGAAAGCTCACTATGTTTGTGCTTTGTATTGTTATAGCCAGCCCAACTCCATCTTGTGCCTCAATATCATTTTGTTTTTGTTTTTGTTTTCCTCATTGAGTTTATTGGTACATTTTAGGTATACAGTACAGTTGCATTCATCATTGGGACCTTGTACCTTTACATGACAGGTCTTGATTCTCAATTTTTCCCCTTGTCCCTGTCCTCCCTTCACCCCTCCTCCCTCTCCCTTTACAAACACTTCATTTCCATTTCTTCATTTTCTCATATTTTTTTTCTTTTCCCTTATTAGCTTTCCCCTACCCTTCCCACTTTCCCTACACCTTTAGTACCTGCGCTTGGACAAAGTGCTTGCGCTTGAACAAGGCACCCAAAAACCCCACATCCTACTTGCAGTTGCAGAATGTTTTGTCACTCACCTAGTGTGTGTGAAACTTCCTTGTGCCCACCCCACCAACCTGGCATGGTTCTGCTTTTGTAAGATTCCGCTTGCTCTCCCCTGAGCCCTCCCCAACTGAAAGCATGATTTAAGAAGAGAAATCAGACCGCTTCCCCTTGCCCAGGAAACTTTCTGAGCGCTAGCCCCTCCTCGACTGCTGGCTGTAATGAAAAGGCTCCAATCTGGCACAGAGTGTGGTGCATCTCTATTGTTCAAACTCGCTCATCCATAGCAGCATTTCCTTAATGGCTGTAATGTCAAGCACCTCTTTCTCAATTTGCATGGGGCCATGGAGGGAGTTATTTCACATTCCATTTCAGTTGTTAGTTCTCAGTGCCAACATTCAGTGAGTTGTAAGTGGCACTGCAAAAGGCAATTTAAATTAAAAATTTTTCCTCCAGGTGAGGGCATAAACATCTACCCCCACCTCTTCTCAGCCCTGATGAATGGACGGAATATACAGATATAGAAGACCCCAGGACATCTGTGTGAGCAGTGAGATGGTGATTTGAGGAAGATGCACCCCCATCTCCTTGGCGTTAGCTTTGAGTAAATCTTTTTTTTTTTTAATTATTCTTACCAAATTAAATGGCCTCCTTTGATTTGTTGAGTGGTGAGCAAGTGAACTTAAGCGGTCAATAACAAGATGATCGGCCATGGGACCCATCAGTTAAGAAACACAATGTCATATTTAGCTGTTGGATTCTCTCATTCCTAAGTCTGTAACAGCTGGATCTGCTCACAGCACTCCTTGCCATTTCCCATGCCACAAAGCATAAACTTTTTGCTTTATTGAGACAAAATACCTGACCCCAAAAATCAAAGAAGGGAAGATTTATTTTAGCTCACATTTTGCAGAAGTTTCAATCCATTGTCAGCTGACTCCAAGGCAGAGTGACATGACAAAGGGGCATCACAGATGAGAAACAGCTCAGGCAGAAGGCAGCAAGCAGCAACAGCCACTCCCTCTATCCCTTTGAGTCTACCCACCTTTTGGGTGGTGCCACCCACACCCAAGCGTGGGCCTTCCCATTATCAATACCCAGAACTATGCTAAACCAATGAGTGGACTAATTTAGTCGTTATGCACCCTTAATCTCAGTATCTCTGCCTTAATCACCAGCATCACACCCTTTATCTAAGCATCACACACCCTAGATCCAGCCACCTCCAAAAAGCCCCGCCTATGACTGCATGAGGCTTTGGGGGGACATCTATATACAAGCCATAACAAGCCCCTTTCCTTGATCAGCTGCTGCATGTGAACAAATCACATCTTTGTATTCAGCTGGAAGCTCTTCAACGTAGGGAAAGAAAGCCTCATGGACATCACTTTGACCTTGTCTCTGTCCATCACATCTTACCCCTGGACATATATTTTCTGTGCCAAGGTCAACCAAGTGAGTGCCCTCTGTTCTTCATAGCCCAGTGTCACCTCTACTTGTTATACCTACCATTATGCCTGTGGGATACGTGAGCCTTTCATAGCTCCTGCTTCCTTGCTGGATTTGTTGATTCCTGTTAAAATCATCCCAGGCCTTCCATCCTGGACCTTTCCGCTCTGAGATTCCTCGGACCGACCCTCAGTTTTCACTGGCTGTGTGGATTATTCTTGCCATTTCACAACTCAGGGAAGCCCCACAGTGCAGACCACAGGAGAAAGCAGAAGAGTGACAGAGGACAATAGAAGAGCAGTAACTGGACAGGATGCTGTGATTGGAAAGGAATAGAAATGAGACCCACCATGTATGCCAGACACTCACACAGGAATGTGAAATTTTGGAGTTTCCATTTGAGGCAGGCAGCACTGACCAAGACAAGGGAAGCCACTCTGATCACAGAACAAATGGAGCAGGGAGTTTCCATATTTGCTAGGATAGGGTCAAGTACCATAATTTCTAGTGGCCCAGGGTGCAGTTTCAGAAGATGTGTCTTCCTTTGTGAGACATGTACTTCCATGTGATTAGGGTCAACTCATCCTCCAGGCTGTTGAATTTTTGTGTGGCGGTTGCCATTGTGTTATGCAAAACCTTCCAGCCCTGTGGGTCTGGGCCCAATGGTAGAGCCTGAGGAGGTTAGGCGTTTGGACTGCTGAGGGGTTGCATAAGGGTGGGGGCAGAAAAGATGGGAGAGAATAAAAACACATCACACTTTTAATGAGAGATAGGCAAAGTTAACCCTACATTGTAATCTGGGAGAAAAATCTTCCTTGTTGTTTTTATTGATATACACTTATGATTCATAATAATTATGGGAAATTGGTACATGTACGTATTGCGTCTTAATCATTTTTACTCCCCCCTCAATCTTCCCCTCTTTGTCATCCCAGGTTCCCTTCCCATCTTCCACAAAACCTACATCCTTTTTTCATTTCATCTCTCTTTTATGTAGCTCATTAAATTATATATATATTTAGTTTTTCCTATAAAGGAAACTTCAATATTTCACCCTTTGTGTTTGGCTTATTTCACTTAGCATTATTGTCATAGGATGCATCCATTTTCCCACAAATGAATCAAATTTATCTTATTTTTTTTTTTGAGACAGGATCTCGCTATAGTTCAGGTTTGCCTTGAACTCACTATGAAGACCAGGCTGACCTTGATCTCACAGTTATATATATATAATATTTTCTTTATCTATTAATCTGTTGATGGATATGTAGGTCATTTCCAAAATTTAGGTGTTATGAATTGTGCTGCTATAAATGGAATGCTTGTATCTCTGTAAGATGTTCGTACATCTTTTGTGAAGAAACCCAGAAGAGTTGTATTGGAGTGTAGTGGATCTCTAGTTTTGTTTTGTTTTGGAGGAATCTCATATATAATATTTTCTTTATCTATTAATCTGTTGATGGATATGTAGGTCATTTCCAAAATTTAGGTGTTATGAATTGTGCTGCTATAAATGGAATGCTTGTATCTCTGTAAGATGTTCGTACATCTTTTGTGAAGAAACCCAGAAGAGTTGTATTGGAGTGTAGTGGATCTCTAGTTTTGTTTTGTTTTGGAGGAATCTCCAGAGTGGTTGTACTATTTCTTATTGCAATAAACTTTGCAGAATGATTGTCTTTTCCTCCCAAACCCCACCTGCATTGTTATTTTTTGAATTCTTGAAGAATGCTTACTGAAATAAGCTCAAACTTAAGTGGGTTTTGATTTAAAATTCTCTAATGGACAAAGACATTGAACATATTTTATTCTGTTTTGGGGAGGCATTCATTTGTCTTTTGAGAAGTATCTGAGTTCTCATTTGTCAAATTTGGTTTTTTATTTTGGGGTGTCTAATTTTTTGAGTTTCTTTTATATATTCCAGGTGTTGGTCCTCTGTCCAAAGAATAGCTGATGAGGATTTTCCCAGTCTGGAGGTTCTCTTTTTAGTCTGTTTGTTGTTTTCTTTGCTGTAAAATTCTTAATTTGACATTATCCCATTTGTTGATTCTTGGCGTTATTTCTTGTGCAACTGAGGCATTCAAAAAGTTATTGCCCATTCCTATGTCTTCAGGAGCTTTACTTGTTCTATTTTCTAGCAGATTCAGCATTTCTGGCTTAATATCTAGGGGTTTTTCGGTCCATTTTGACTTGGTTTTCATAGGAAGTTTGTGAGATATGGGTCTGGATTTTATCTTCTGCTCTGGGATCACCAGCTTTTCCAGCACTTTTTTTGTACTAGGGTTCTAACTCATGACCTTGTACTTGCCAGGCAGGTGAGGTACTAGTGAGCTAAATCCCCAGCCCTCCAGCACAATTTTTGAAGAAGCTGTCTTTCTCCAGTGTATATTCTTTATGCCCAAAATCAAGTGGCCATAGGTGTCTGGGGTTGTTTTTTTCATTCTGAATTATATTATAATCAACATGTATATTTTTGTTCCAGTACCATTATATAAGTAGCTGATACAAGTCACTGTAAGTTTGTGGCATAACTTTAGGATTTTTTTTTTTGAACCAGGAATCAAACTCAGGACTTGCTCTTGCAAGTTAGGCACAGCACCACTGAGCTAAATCTCCAGCCCATAACTTTAAACTTCAAATAATGATTCTTCCTGCTTTGCTCTTATGCTCAGGGGTTCTTTGGCTATTTTTGGTCTTTTCTTATTTCTTATAAATTGTAGGAGTGTGCTTTATGGTTCTGTAAAGAACATTGAAAGTAGTTTAATGAGAATTGCATTAAAACCAGCTATCATTTGTGGGAATATGGACATTTTTATGATATTGATTGGCTGTCATTAATGGGATTGTTTATAATTTCTTTTTATTCCAGTGGGTTCATGCTTTGTCCACAGGAACAATATTGATTTTGTACCTTGAATTATTTGTCATGATTTTGTTTTGTGTGGTCTGATATCGTCTGGTTTAGAAATTTTCCATTTTTTGTTGAATTGTTAGTTGACATTAAGAGTTATTCCATATGTTTGGAATACAGATTTGTTTTACAATATTTGTTTTAGAGGCATAATCTAGTATTTGGCTTATTTCATTGATATTAAAACAGGTCATTCACAGAGTACAGATTTTACTTTTCTTAGGGTTATCAAAATAATTGATACATTAATATATCTAAATAATTGGTATATAATAATTGACATAATACATAATATATCAATTAAATGTAATTGATATATAGTGTATACATAATATATCTATGTAATTGGTATATACAAATATTTCTCTCTTAATGACTTACTTGTTTAACAACTGTTTGGATTTATGATTGAGGCACATGATTTGGATTTATGACCTGCTGCTGGGACTAACAACTTCTCTTTTTCTTTGTATGGCTCTGTGAAGCTTGTTTATACTGCCTTAGGTTTTTTTGTACACTATACCTTGTTTATACAGTACTATAATATTTGTTGGTTGTACTGTATGGTACAGTACTGTAATTTTATGTTCGGCTATATATTATAATGCTGCATGTAAAAGTTATGCAAGTAAAAACAAAGTCATCAAGTTGGAGTTTCCTTTGATGTTCCTTTGTTCTGAACATTGTAATGTACATACTATATACAATTCCTAATTTATATGATTTAGCCATAGAAATAGAAGCCAGTCATTAAATGAGGAATACTGGTAATACATAGTCTATCAATTTTATATAAATGATATATAATGGATACACAGTTGATATATATATAATTGTTATATTGAGATAATTAATATTTACTTTTATTATTTACATGATAGTGGGCTTGGTGTTTTTGTTCTGGTTAATGCTCAGATTCATGTTTGCATCCCTTTTAGATTTAAAGTCCAGGCAGGATTATGTTCAGCTTTGTGTTTGGGTTCCATTCTGGGTTTGTGTTCAGATTTGTGTTTGGATTTGTAATCATATTTGGGTCATGTAAGGTATAGAGTTCATGTTGTGGTATGTGTTCAGATTTGTGTTATGCCTTGTGTCTGGGTTCGTTTCTGGGCTTATGTTCAAGTTTGTGTCTGGATTTGCTTTTGGGTTTGGGTTTGGTTCAGATATCAGGTTAAGGTTCTGGTATGTGTTCAGATTTGTGTTTGGTTTAGGATTACAGT